GCAGTGGTTGGGGGGGCTGGACTCCCACATGGCCGACCCTGGTTCAAGTCCCGGACCTGGTGGTTTGCTTTCTCACTTTCTCTCTCTCCCCCTCTATAATCAAATTAAAATAAATACATACAGATAAATAATTTTTTAAAAAACACATTATGCTTGTGTGAGCGCATGTGGGATTGTGAGGTTGTAGGAGTGTGTGTGAGATGGTGTGTGCATCAGGTTGTAGGCGTGCATGTGGACTTAGGTACAGAGTAGCAAGTATCAGGAGACCTAGAAAATCGGGACCAGCAGGTGGCATAATGGTTGCGTTGCTAAACTCCCACTTTATTGCAGTTCAAGTCATGGACCCAGCCCCTTAAAACTCATGCTGGCTGCATGTGAGTGTGTGCCCAAAATCCTGAGTGGAGAATGAAGGGACTGTTGCGTGGCCATCTCCCTGGGAGGTGATTTCTCAGTTTCTGTCTTTGTCTCTGGCGAGCGCACACACCCTAAGCAAAAATCTCTTTAAAAAACAAAAAAAATAAAATAAAAAATGAAGGTTAAAGTATTTTTTGACCCAGAAACTTTTTAAATATGTTTTTACTTTGGGGCCAGCAGGTGCCGTGGGCATGGCTGACCAGGGTTTGAGTCCTGAATCTGGTGGCTTGCTTTCTCACTTCCTCTCTCTCTCACTCTTATCCTCTGTCTCTCTCTGGTCAAATTAAAAAATGAATGAATGAATAAATAAATAAATAAAAATAAATATGTTTTACTTTGTTGTTAAAAAGACCTTGTGCAATAGAAATAACAGATGCATATTAAAGAAGTACAGAAATGGGGGAGAGATGAAGCACTGTAGCCCTCTGCCCTTGTGCTGTCGGATTCCAATCTCAGATCGTGGCCACTGGTTCCCGAGCTGCCGCTGGGCTTTCTGTTCAGATCTGGGTTTGCATCTGCTCTAAGTGCACAGAGGTGGAGTGCGTGCACTCCAGAACGGGACTGGGGCCAGGCCAAGGAGGGCCCTGCTGTTCGGATCCCCTCACCTGAGGTATCTACGGTTGGCCCAGAGGAGGGGCTGGGGCCCTGGCCGTCCCTGACCCAAGAGGGCTCTGGGCTCTGGGACTTGCTCCTGAGAGTCTGAGCTGCACACGCTGCCCCTCAGTCCAGAGATTCCAGGTCCTGCAGCATCTGCAGAGGCTTGGTCCTTCTGGCTGCCAGGACCCCTGCTGGCTGGCAGCCCTGGCTGAGCCAGCCCCTTCCGGAAGGCCCGGAGCTGTTGGAGGAGCTGGCTCTTCCCGGTGCAGTCCCTGCAGCACAGAACCACAGGGCCCAGCGTGGTCAGCTGCCCGCCCCACTGCAACGGAGGGAAGCAGACACACGCTCTGGTGGGCACCGATTCAGGCAGCCTCTGCTGGCTGCTGGGATGCAGGTGCGGGGGCCCTGCACTCTGTGGGGCAAAGCACTCGCCCTAAGAGCAACTGCGGAGCCCTGGAGATCCCCACCCAGCAGGAAAGGCAACTAGGAAAGTGTCACCATCCACCCTTTCTGAGTTCCAAATTTAGGTTTAAGTTGGTTAAACCCAACCGGCAGATAACGCTAGAAAGAATATGTGGATCAGGGCCAGCAGGTGGCATGGAGGTTGAGGTGCTGCATGGCTGACCACAGCTCATGTCTTGGACCTGGTGGCTTGCTTTCTTGCTTTCCTCTCTCTTTTTCTCTGGTCAAATTAAAAAATAACAACAATGGGGCTGGGCTGGCAGGTGGCGTGGTGGCTAAGGGTGCTGGACTCCCCATTATAGCCCATCTCAGTTCTAGTCCTGGACCTGGCAGCTTGCTTTCTCGCATTCTCGCTTTCTCTCTCTCTGGTCAAATTAAAGTAAGTGAATAAATAAGTAAAGCTAAATAAAATAATTAAAATAATTATACAATAAATAAATATTTTAAAATAAAATAAAGACTATGTGGCTCAGAGGCTTTCTTACTACTGAGAGGGCCATCCAGTGCAGTTGGGCTAACTTCCCCATCAGCCTGGAGGGAGTGTTCAGGCTGTCTTGAATCCTGGACCACGAACCAGCTGCCTACTGAGTGCCTCCTACCTCCTGCCCGCTCCCTGAGGCTGGTCCTAAAGTCGTCCCTGTGAGGCTGGCCGAAGCCATGATGTGCTGGCGGCCCAGGGAAAGGAGCAGCCTGGCTTGAGCGCAGGCTGATGGACCGCAGAGCGGGAGATCACAGAGCACATGCTCCATGCTCTGCCCTCCATGTGCCCAGTGCTCCACGTGCCCCGCGCACGGTGCATCCCGCACAGCAGAGGTCTGGGCGCCCGAGCCGGGTCAGCACCATTGTCCACTCCTCAGACCAGGAGGAGCTTGCCTGGCAGACCCTAACGCGACTCCGCTGACCTTGAGAAAAGCAAGCTTCTGCCCAGAGTGTTGCTGAGAGAAGACGACACTCAGGGCTGGTCACAGCAGAAGCCAGAGTGCCTCCAGAAGTGTGCCCCAGCCCCCGCAGCCTAGGCCCTCGCCACGGGGCCAAGGAGCTCCTCAAGGCTTCCGTGGGGGACCCGGTGACACTTCTCAGCCCAAACTGCTCTTCCCTCTTTTCTCCTTAATGCCCGATCACGTGCCACATGAGGGGAGGAGCTGCTGGAGACCCCGACATCCCCAAGGGTGGACAGTTCCCGAAGGGCTGGAGACAGCCACAGCGGGCGGTTCCATTTGCCCCAGTGGGACTCCCAGTATGAGACCTTGTCACCCCGAACCTGACGCCTCTCCCAGGCCTTTCTACTCTGGCTGATGGTCACTTCGTGCCATTTCTACCTGAACCCGTGCTCCTGCTGCCATCGGCCGTCCTTCAGGAGGAAAAGACTACGCCGCCCTCGGACCATGGCCAGGTAGAGATGCGACGGGCCTCCCCACGGCTGCCCAAACCCCGCCTCAACCTTCCCATGCTGGCCCTTAGGGCCCCAGGCTTCAAGCTGAAAACAAAGATGTGAATACCCAGCCCAGGGGCCTGGGGGAGCAGAGCTGGGACATCCCCTTCTAGTAGTTACCGTCTCCGCTGGGAGCCGTGAGGTGGCTGCTCCCCCGGGCCCTGCTGGTCTCCCAGAGCCACTGGCTCCTCTTCCTCCTCCTCCTCCTCACTGTCAGAGGAGCTGGGGCGGGGGCTGAAGCTGGGGGGAGAGGGGAGAGGAGGGGCTCGCCAGGTGTGCCTCCGTCCACCAGACGGCCGGTACCACCAGGGTCTGGGGGTGCTCAGGCCTCTCAGGCAACCTAAGGCCGGAGGGCGGCAGCTCGCAGAGCCCAGAACCCGCAGGGGAGGGGAGGCCCAGGGCCATGGACTCCAGCCTGGACAAAGTCCTGGCATCGTCTGTCTCTCTTCCCTCCCACCAAGTGGAACTGGCGGCCAGGCCCAGGTCCCACCTAATAGCATTTCTCAGCCGAGCCAAGTTCCAAGCCCTTCAAAGTCCCCGTTCCTTCCCAGCAGGGACTAGCGGAGGCCCTGTGAGGCCGGCGTGCATCGTGGCACAGTGGGGTGTCTGCTGCAAGGTCGTCACTGCCCTCCTACCTTTCCGAGGCCTGGTGGTCCGATGGCTCCGTCTGTCGCAGGTCAATGAAGATGGTGGGGGGCTCCCTGCCCTTCAGCTGCGAGCCCTGCTCAGCCCAGAAGTCCGGCTTCACCGAAGCACACCTAGGATAGGAGAGGGTTGCCGTGTCCCTTCTCTGTGGACTTCACTGACTTGTCCACACAGCACTTCCGGCTGCCACAGGATGAGGTGCTGCAAACGCGCATCGGATGCGCTCGCTCCGTCTCTGCAGAAGGGCCCTCAGATCCAGGCCAGCGCTGTCCAGCAGGACCTTCTTTTTCTTGGAGAGGTTTCTGCTATAGAGCATGTGCGCTCTCCAGACAGACAGAGAGAGACAGAGAGACAGAAAGCAAGAAATCACCCCCAGGGGGGATGGCCACGCCGCAATCCCTTCTCCTCCGTTTTCCTCTCGGGATCTTGGGCACGCACACACACGCGCCCGGCATGAGTTTTAAGCCACTGGGTCTGAGACGTGAACCGCGGTCGACTACGTGGGAGTCCAGCGACATAGCCATTACGCTAACTGCTGGTCCTTCCAGCAGGACCTTCTGTGATGAGGGAAATTCTCTGCCTCCCACCACAGGTGGCTTTTGAGTTTACATTACAGCTAATTAAAATCAAACAAAACATGGGGCCAGCAGGTGGCGAGGTGGTGAAGGCACTGGAAACTCCCACATGGCTGACTGTGGTTTGAGTCCCAGACCTGGTGGCTTGCTGTCTCACTTTCCCCCTCTCTCTCTGTGTTTCTCTCTGGTCAAATTATAACAAATGAATGAATGATTAAAATAAAAAATTCTTTTAAAAAATCAAATGAAACAAATTGAAAATTCTGTCCCTCAGTTGCACTAGCCATATGATATTGAACAGGGAAGGTCTGATCGTTTCTATTAGATATTTTTGATTGCCAGGCGCAGAAACCCACTCTAACTAGCTCAGGTAAAGAGGAGAATTCACTGGCTCTCAGGTTCCTAAAAAGGGCAGAACAACCAAATTGCAGGACAGGCCATGTCTCCCCTCTGCCTCCTCAGCTTCACCCTTCCTTGGGCAGCTTACCTTTGTGCACCTGGAAGGACAGGGGCCAACAACCCTTCCACACACACTGGACACTGGGAAATCCCAGGGGAAGTTCTGATGGCCTGACTGAATCACATGCCCAGGGCTAGACCAATCAGCTATTGGCCAGAGGGACAGGGTCATGTGCAAACCCTCCTACTCCCAGGGAGGCCATGTGAATAGTAAAGGGAGGTTCCAACAGAGTTTGAAGAAAGAGTTTGAAGAAAAAGTTGAGGCTCGAGTCAAAGCTCTGCCATTTAGGGCCAGGAAGAGTCACCTCCATGAGCTCAGTTTCCCCATCTATAGGAAGAATAATAGGGACACCTGGCTGATCAGTTTGAAGGTAAAACGAGAAAGTGCACCTCAAGTGCCTCATTCACGGCAGGCCCAGTCAACACTGCTGGGTCACTGGCCTGTTCTGAAGACACAGGGGACATGGAGGAAGGACATCCCACCTGCTCCTGGCCTCCTGCTCCTCAGCATCTTGGGGTGTGTCAGTGGGCACCTTCTGGACAGAGGCCACGGCTCTGGACTGTGTGGCACACAGCAGGGCTAGTCGTTCCATAAGCTCATCCTGGGCACTGGGCACAGTGCGGTCTATGCGTTACAAAGGGAAAAAGGCTGCTCGGTGTGGGGACTCGGCCACGCCTGACCACGGCAGTCTGGTTAACAGCCCCAGGGCCCCCTCAGTGTCCTGGTGTGGGTGCCCTGAGGCTCCGTGGCCTCCACCCCACTCCTCAGCACTCAGCCCTTTATGAAGGCCACATCCAGCTCTCAGGGCCACAGGGAGCGGTCCCTTTGAACAGGGACAGTCTCACCCCACCCCATTGTCAAAGGCAGCTGTCGTAGCAGATCTGAGGGCTGATTTCCTTTCTTATACCTTTTTTTAGATGTTTTTGCCTTAGAGCACATGCACTCACCAGAGAGAGAGAGAGAGAGAGACAGAGACAGCAAGAGGGAAAGTAAGAAATCACTCCCTGGGAAGATGCACACACCACTTCCAGCTCTCAGGGCCACAGGGAGCGGTCCCTTTGAACAGGGACAGTCTCACCCCACCCCATTGTCAAAGGCAGCTGTCGTAGCAGATCTGAGGGCTGATTTCCTTTGTTATACCTTTTTTTAGATGTTTTTGCCTTAGAGCACATGCACTCACCAGAGAGAGAGAGAGAGAGACAGAGACAGCAAGAGGGAAAGTAAGAAATCACTCCCTGGGAAGATGGCCACACCACAATCCCTTCTCCTCCACTGATCTTGGGCACATACACACATGTGCCTAGTGTGAGCTTCGAGCCACCGAGTCCTGGACTCAGACTGCGGTCAGCTATGTGGGATTCCAGCACTGTAACCACCACGCTATCTGCTGGCCACTGGAGTTTTTTCAACTTAACTTCTTTCACTTTGTACTTACATCTTTCTACAGTGACATATGGCCCTCCCTCCCTAAGTGGGAAGGCATTCCGTGGTATAATTGTTTCAGCTGGACTTCAATCGAGAGACAGACCTGGATAAGGAGGTCTTGTGGTCACACTGTGTGGTCACGCTGTTATTCCTCCTGGCCTGTTTCTCAAGGTACTGGGGCTGAGATTCAAACCACGGTCGGCCATGTGGGCTCTGGCTTCCTTAATCACTAGGCCCTAGGCCCGGTTTCAATGTTACACAATTTCAAACAGCACTGCACCAGACATGCCTAACATGTATCTTTACGCACTAGGGTAAGAGTGTGTTCAGGGTAGATTTTTTGAAGTGGAGTAGCTTGATCAAAAGGTGACATGCCTTTATTTATTTTCAGTTTTTGCCACAGAGCATGTGTGTTCTCCAGACAGAGAGAGAGAAGGAAAGTAAGAAAGCACCCCCAGGGGAGATATCTATGCCTCAATCCCATCTCCTTCAGTCTCCTCTTGGGATTTTGGGCACACACACATGCACTGGTGTGATTTTCAAGCCACTGGGTCAGGGACTTGAACTGTGTTGTTGGTCATGTGGGATCCAGCGCCTTAACCTCTATAACACCTGTTGGTCCATAAGGTCATATGCCTTTAAAATAGAAAATAATCCAAGTGTGGATTACTAAAAACTAACGTTTAAAACCACACCAGGGCTGGGGCCGGCCAGCGGCATGGTGGTCAATGTGGTGCCTCGCTCCCACGTGGCCAATTCTGGTGCGAGCCTCAGACCAACTGGCGTAATAAATCACTCTGGGCACATGAAAGTACATGCCAGAAATCCCGAGACGAGATTTCTCTTCCCCTCTCTCCGTCTCTCTGCAGTGAGGTCACATGCCCTGTGGCAAAACCCCACACCAGAGCTGTCAGCCACAGCGCAGTCTGGTCTAGAACTGGACTTGGCTGCTTTGCCTCAGACCTGCTTCAGTCACCTTTGTGTGTCCAGGTGTGGGGGCAGGGGAGGGCAGGGGGCCTTGCCCTGGGCAATTTTCAGAATTTCCCAGAGTGAGGCCACAAGTTAGTGACAGTGGTGACACTTTTCTGCCTTTTCAGGGGGAGGCTAGTAGAAGCAGGAGTGTGCCCAGGACCCTCCTGAGGGAACCCAAAGGGCAGGACTGACTTCTCCAGGAAGACAGGCAGGGTGGCTGAAGAGAGGGGGTGCAGGACACGGTGCGGGGCATGGGCAGAGGCAACGTCTGAAGTCCCCACTTGTGTCCCGGACCCAGGCTCACACCTGGGCATGGTTGGAGCCTTGTGTATGTGGAATGAAGGAAGAATGAATGAATGAAGCCCTTCAAGGACTGGCGGCCTGAGTGCCCAGGACTACGAAGGGCAGTGGAGGCAGAGAGGCGGTGTACGGGCTGCAGGGTTGACGGTGCCGGCCCTGGCCCCCTGTAACTGAGAGGTCTGGGAAGAGCTGCTCGAGGGGGTTCCCTTGGGCTCCACGTTCAAGGTCAGACCTCCGCCTTGGCTGCGGTCAGCTGCCCACCGCGTGGCTCTGAGGGCCCGGTTGCCCTGGTTCTCTTCTCGCGCTGCCAGACTCTGAAGGAGGTAATCCAAATCCCAGTCTTCCAGTTGCTGAAATCATTAAACTGGTGATTAGAGGGTGCTGCAGGGTCCCGGAGGTACAGAGCTGTGACCAACGGGATGGCCGTGGCTGTGGCACGCTGGCGTCTGCAGATGGGCTTGCCCACTCCAGTTGCAGAGGGAACCTGTTAGGTGGGCCTGGGCTCGTGCCGCCTCCTCCTGAGCACAATACTTTGTGCCACAGAGACGTCTGGCCTGGAGGAAACCATGTCATCTAAAATTGGTTAGGTTCAGGTCGGTTCGACATGCTTGCAAGTCAGGGATTTCGCTCTTTTAAGAAATAGGTTGTTCAGGGGCCAGGAGGTGGCATGGTGGTTAAGGTGCTGGTCTCTCAAATGGCTGACTGTGGTTTGAGTCCTAGACCTGGAGGCTTGCTTTCTCACTTTCCCTGTCTCTCCCTGTTTCTCTCTGGTGAGCACATGTGCCCTAGAACAAATTGAAAAATAATAACAATAAAATAAATACGTTTTGTAGAAAAGAACTAAACAGGTTGTTGGGACCAGTAGATGGCATGGTAGTCGGTGCGCTGGACTCCCACATGGCCAACCACGATGCGAGTCCCAGACCTGGCGGCTTGCTTCCTCACTTTCCTCTGTCTCTCTGGTAGGCATGAATGCCCTACAGCAAATTCAAGAATATGAGCTCATCAGGAAAGACATGACCTATTTTTCTATGCAAAAATGTGTCATGATTTTCCCAACAACCCAACAATAGCAATAATAAATAGCATTAAGTAATTCTTTTAAAAATAATTATTTAATTTTATTCGTCATTATTATTATTTTAATTTAGTCAGAGAGAGAGAGAGAGGGAAAGTGAGAAAACAAGCTGCCAGGTCCAGGACCAAACCGCAGCTGACCGTGTGGGAGTCCAGCCCTCAACCACAACGCCACCTACCGGCTCCAATAAAAGAAGCAGGTTGTGCTAGGCAAGTGCTGAAACTGGAGAGCTTGACCAAAAATGCTTCGAGGAGCAGGGGGTGGACTGTTCATTGTATATGACCTTTAATTTCCTGAAGCCTACAGGTGACGAAAATCAAAGCTTTTTTTTTTTTGGAGAGGTTTTTGCTATAGGGTGCGTGCGCTCACCAGACAGACAGAGAGAGACAGAGAGACAGAAAGCGAGAAATCACCCCCTGGGGGGGATGGCCACACCGCAATCCCTTCTCCTCCATTCTCCTCTCGGGATCTTGGGCACGCACACACACGCGCCTGGCGTGAGTTTTAAGCCACTGGGTCCGGGATGCGAACCGCGGTCGACTACATGGGAGTCCAGTGACATAGCCATTATGCTAACTGCTGGTCCCGAAAATCAAAGCTTTTAAGGGTGAGCAAAAAGGGAAAGACTGGTCTATTTAAGGAGTAACAAAGATTTACACATGTACCTGGGTGATAGTTTTCTCTAAACTATAAGAAAATTATCCAGCCTGCGCGGTCCCCGCCCCCCACCCCACCGGGCCCGGGC